TCTTTTGAGAAATATCTATTTAGGTCTTCTGCCTATTTTTTTTGACTGGCTGTTTGTTTTTCTGATATTGAGTTATATGAGTTTTTTGTAAATTTTGGAAATTGAGCCCTTGTTGGTTGCATCATTTGTAAATATTTTTACCTTTAAAGGGTTGTCTTTTTCTTTTGTTGATTGTTTCCTTTGCTGTGCAAAAGATTGTAAGTTGGAATAGGTTCTTTTTATTTCTTTTGCCTTAGGAGTTGAATCTAAGAAAATATTACCACAATTTATGTTTGAGGGCTTCCCAGGTGGCGCTATTGGTAAAGAACCTGCCTGTCAATGCCGGAGTTGCAGAGGTGTGGATTCAGTCCCTGGTTGGGAAGATTCTCTGGAGGGGTCATGGCAACCCACTCCAGTGTTCTTGCCTGGAGAATCCCAGGGATGGGGGAGCCTGTGGGCTGCCATCTATGGGGTTGCACAGAGTTGGGTACGACTGAAGCGACTTAGCAGCAGCAGCAGCATTAAATCTGTAGATTACTTTGAGTAATATGGCCATTTTAATCACATTAATTCTTTCAGTCCAAGAGCATTAAGACTCCTTGCCATTTCTTTGAATCATGTACAGTTTCCTTTATCACTGTTTTATGATTTTTAGCATATATGCCATTTACCTCCTTGGTCAGGTTTATAAACGAGCCTCTTTTTTAAAAAAACTTTTTCTTTCTCATATGTCACTGTTAGTATAAAGAAATTCAGCAGATTTCTGTATATTAATCTTGTATCCTGCTATCTTGCTGAATTCATTTATTCTAATAGTTTTTGTGTGGAGTCTTTGGGGTTTTCCATATATAGTATCATGTCATCTGCATGTAGTGACAGTTTTCCCTCTTCCCTTTCAATTTGGATACCTCTTATTTCTTTTTCTTGTCTGGTTGCTGTGGCTAGGATTTCCAATACTATGTTTAATAGAAGTGATGAGACGGGGCATCAGTCTCTTTTTCCAGAATTCAGCCTAAAGGCTCTCAGCTTTTCACCATTGTGTATTACGTTGGCTGTGGGCTTGTCACAGTGGCTTTTATGATACTGATATATGTTCTCTGTATACTCACTTTGGTGAGAGTTTTTATCATGAAAGGATGTTGAATTTTACCAAATACTTTTTTATGCATCTATTGAAATGATCATTTTTTTTCTGCATCTATTGAGATGATCATGTGGTTTTTGTTTTTGTTGTTGTTAATGTGGTGTATCATGTTGATTGATTTGCATATGTTGAACCAGGCTTGTGACCCTGGGATGAATCCAACTTGATCGTGGCATGTGATCCTTCTTGTGTGTTGTTGGGTTCCATTTACTAATATTTTGTTGAAGATTTTTGCATCTAATTTCATCAAAGATATTGACCTGTAATCTTTTTTTTTTTTCATAGTGTCTTTGTCTGGTTTTAGTATAGGGTGCTGGTGGCTTCATAGAATGACTTTGGGAGTGTTGCCTCCTCTTCCATCTTTTGGAATAATTTGAGAAGGACAGATATATTATTTGTGTGTTTGGTAGAATTCCCCAGTGAAGCCATCTGGTCCTAGACTTTTGTTTGCAGGGAGTTTTTTGTTTATCTATTACAGGTTCTATTTCCTTTCTAGCAATCAGAGAAAAGAGAGAAGACCCAAATAAACAAATGAAATGAAAGAGAAGCAACAATAAGTGATACCCCAGAAATACAAACTTCAAAAACAAACTTATGGTTACCAAAAGGAAAACATAGGGGGGGATCTGTTCAAATGATCTGTTTCTTCTTGACTCAGTTTTGGCAGACTGTGTTTCTAGAGGTTTGTCCATTTCTTCTAGGTTTTCCAAATGTTGGCATATAATCATTCATAGTATTTTATTATGACTAAATTTTTAAATTTTATATTGGAGTTTAGTTGATTGACAATGTAGTATCAGTTTCAGGTGTATGGCAAAGTGATTGATTATACATACACATATAACTATTCATGTCCAGATTCTTTTCCCAGATAGATTAATACAGAATATTGAGTAGAGTTCCTTGTGCTATATAGTAGGTCCTTGTTGATTGTGTATTTTATATATAGTAGTGTATGTATGTTAATTCCAAACTTCTGATTTATCCCTCCCTGCTACCTTTTCCTTTTGGTAACCATAAGTGAGTTTTTAAAGTTTGTATTTCTGGGGTATCACTTGTTATTGCTTCTCTTTCATTTCTTTTGTTTATTTGGGGCCTCTCTCTTTTCTTCTCAGTGAGCCTGGCTAGAGGTTTGTTGATTTTCTTTATCCTTTCAAAAAAAGAAAACAGGTCTTGGTTTTATTTATCTTCCATGTTATTTTTCTGATCTCTATTTTATTTCCTGTCTGACCTTCATTATTCCCTCTTTTTGCTGACTTTGGATTTTGTTCTTCTAATTCTTTTAGGTGGTAGATTAGGTTGTTGACTTCATATTTTTCTTGTTTCATGGAGTTTTTTTACTTGATAAATGTAAAAGACTTCAAGGACCATAGAAGCATCTTTATCTTCACTTTAAAGTGCAAAAGGAAACAACCACAGTGTTTGGCTAATGAGAGCAAGGCTGAACATCTTTGCCCCTGCCATCCCCTCTCACCCCCCAAATACATCCTTTAGTACTGCCCATGAAGTGTATGGGAAAATCCTTTTAAAACTGGCAGGGTATCTATAGGAAGGAAGGAGCCCTCAGGTAATAAGCAGCAATTCTTAAGAACCTCATCACAACTGTAAACTTGAACCTCACAGACTCACCTCTTGTCCAGACTCATTTCCTCTGCATTTGGTATTTTTGTTAAAATGAATTTTTCCCCCGCCTAATCTCAGAGTCTTCACTGTCCCTGGCAGGGACATGGAAATGGTAACTCATCATGTAGAATTATCGCATAAGTCTGCACGGGACCCTGGTTTGAGGTTTACAGCAAAGGTGAAAAAGAGCAAAATCTGTTGAGGGAGAAAATGTGGGGTTGGAATAAGGTGAAAGGCGTATTTAAGAGCCACTAGCGGTTCTTGCCTGGAGAATCCCAGGGATGGGTGAGCCTGGGGGGCTGCTGTCTATGGGGTCGCACAGGGTCGGACACGATTGAAGCGACTCAGCAGCAGCAGTGGTCAAACTAAAGTTAGCACACGAAAAGCACTAAAGGGAAAAGAGAAGAATATAGTTACCACTTTTGGGCATAAAGAGAAGGCCTAGAGTAATTGTGAAATGATTAAAGCTTCTCCAGGTGTTCCTGAAAGCCATTGTTCATAGCATTGTCACGTGAGGTGAGAGTACATCCCAACCTTGTTATCATCTCAAGAAATCTTCAGTTCAGTGATGTTAGGCCCACTGTAATAAATATTCTGGAGCAAATTGAAGCCATTGGTAAATTGAGGCAATTAATTTATACTCAGGTAATTAATGTACACTCTGACCAGGACAGGACATAATTTATTTTTTTTTAATACCATTAAAGCACCTCTTGTATGTATATCAAATATGATCTACTGAGAATATTTCCACACTTGAAATCATAGGGTAAAAATGGCATAAAGTACATTATGTCATACGCACTTAAAAAATTAATTTTAAAATATATGCCCCCAAATATATACACATCCAGTTCCTGCGTTTTCCCAGGAACTAACCTCACCCTCTGATTGCTGTTCATATAGATATATAGGAAAAGAGGTGAAAGTGAATGGGGATATGTGACCAAGGATGAGTGCAGTGGTGTCAATAGCAGTAAGCTCAAGCACATGGATGAACCTTTGCATCTCCTGAAAGCAGGCCAGCATGGGGACTGTAGAATCACTGCCCTGGGCCAGGGACACTTGGGATGGGATATCTGGGTTGAGGTTTTAGTCCATAGCATTGTGCTCAGATTAATTGCTTAGTTTTGACAATGAACCGTTGTTACAGAAGATGTTGTCTATAGGGCAAACTAGGTAAAGGTTGGTGCCCCACTCCAGTGCTCTTGCCTGGAAAACCCCAGGGACGGAGGAGCCTGGCAGGCTGCAGTCCATCGGGCCGCTACGAGTCAGACACGACTGAGCGACTTCACTTTCATTTCTCACTTGCACACAGTGGAGAGGAAATGGCAACCCACTCCAGTGTTCTTGCCCTGAGAAACCCAGGGACGGGGGAGCCTGGTGGGCTGCCGTCTACGGGGTCGCACAGGGTCGGACACGACTGAAGTGACTTAGCAGCAGCAGCAGCAGGTAAAGGATATGTATGAATTTTCTGTCATCATTTTGGCACAGTATTTTTTTAAACCCAAAATTATTCCAAAATTAAAACAGTTAATTGAATAAAATGAATAAAGAGAGAAGACACTGTTTTCAGAAGGACCATGGAAAATTTTCAAGTTGAAAAATTTGAGTTCAAACTTCAATTAATTTCTTAAAACATTCACTGTTCAGACCTCATTTTTACCATAATGCTGTTAAGTCCTCTATATTTCCAATCTATGTCTGCATCTTATATTTTTATTATTTTATTTCCTATTTTTATATTTTTACAATGTTTGTAGTGCTTTATTTTACTTTTGGAAGGATGTTTTATTTTTAAAGTTGTCAAAGTTATTAACATTTCCCTTCATATTTTCCTTAATATTTGGGTTTTGAAGTCCTGAAAAATATTCCTCTTTGTGGCCCTATAGCAGTTTGAGCTTTACATTTTATTTTCAGGACTTTAATATGACCAAGAATGATGTTTATATTTGCAGAGGAGTATTGATTCAGTGGGATTAAGGAATAGTCTTCCTCCCTCGCCCAGTAATTCTTGCTCGTGCTTGTCATGTGGGAAAGGGTTAGGGCATGTCAGGGGGAGTCTGACTCGAGTATTTCTGGATTTATCGCTTTGTATGGGCATTGGACTCTTGCTTTTGGTAAGATGAGGAAATGTCGGAAACTCTGGAATGCGAAGGAATAGGGTCAGATTAAGAAATAAATAAGAAATAAAAGATGATTGAAGAATCTTGAGAAGATAAAAGGAATTTGTTACCAGGGTTGGTTTTGTCAACTTAGGATTTATTTTTATATTTTTATTGATGCATACACTACTTGCAGAAAGTAAATGAAACTTAAGTGTACATATCAATTCATGTATTATATACAAAACTGACTCAGTTCTATTAAGAATAGCCAGGTCAAAAACCAGAATGTTAAAACCCTATCACATAATAGCCATCACCGCAGGGGTTGTTTCTGGAGGAGGAGTGGTCTCGGCGCGATAGTTTACGGTGTCGATCCTGGCCCATTCACAGCGGCCGTCGTGCCCGGGGGCACACGTGGAGTACAGGGACTGGTTTCCCTCCCACACGCTGTAATCGCAGTCTTCCTGCTCCCACACACACTCTTGTTTATCAGGTTGGGGGCAACTGCGCCAGCAGAGAAGGCACGGCTGAATCTAGCGAGAGAGGGAGGTCCAGGGCTTGTCGCAATGCCCTGCCTTCTCCTGTTCACAACCCCACTCTCAAAAACATGAGGGCGACAGGGATCTGAATACAGGTAGAGTCTAAAGGTGCTGAGGGGTGGGGGGCAGGATGGAACTTGGGAGAGGAGGCCAGGGAAGAGGAGGAAGGTGAGAGAGTAGGGGTCATCCACTGAAGGAGGGAGGTGGGAGGGGACTCTGAGCACAAGGACATGGTACAAGTCCTGCACCAGCGCCTGGGCAGTAGAACCAAAAGGCGGGGGAGGCGCTCACCTGACATTTGCATCCCCTTTTGTACAGCGCCTTGAAACCTAGCCTCTGCTCGCTGGTGAGACGGTACCAGAAATGTACCATGTGGCATCTCGTGAAGTACAGCGCCCCCTTCCTCAGATAGCCTGCAGTGGTCAGAGAGCAGACGGCGAGAGTCAGCACAGCGGGTGTGGGTGTCCCCCAGGGAGTCGGCCCCAGAGGGTCTGGAAACCCCGAGGCTGTCAGGGTACAGAGTCAGCCATGAATGATGGTCCAGCATTCTTCCCTGGAAAAACCTGTCAGGTCGTGGAGAAGGGGCCCTTGGTCCTTGGCGGTGCTGGAGGTGCGGAAGTAGAGTGGGTTACAAGGCAGAGGGGCTGAGTGTGGACAGGGTACTCACCTGCAATAAGTAGTTGTGATTGCTGAGAAGTCCTCACCTCGTAACCACAGCTATCCCAGGCCTTGGGTGTGTATACAGAAGTGATGGGGGGGCTCTTCTTGGGAATCTTGAGTATCTGTGATGGGAGGGATCAAAAGAGCAGGGCCTCAGTTTCTTATAGAAGTTGCTGGTATTTAGAAAACAACCGCCTCCTTCAGCAGGAACAGATTGGAGAGCTCGTTGATTTTGAGGAAAGGGGATAAGAATGAAGGAGGTGTTGGGTCTGACCTGAGTGATGTTGATTCTATAGTTTCGTTTTAATGCGGTGTCATTTCCACGTTCCAGTATATTACCTATTACAACTGGGAGGAGAAAAAAATGGGTCATTGACTTAAGAGTCCCCCATCCTAAATCTCCTGGAGACCTTTTCCCCATCGCCAGTGCTGCCCCACCTCTGCGTTTCTACACCCCATTGTGAGACCCACCACCCTCCTTGACGGATGCTTCTCTGGTGTCTCCCTTGACTCACCGATGTCTGACGTGCAGTAGTATGTCTGAGGATGCCGAAATTTACACTCACAGGCATCGCAGGGTGTTGAAAGAGCCAGCAGCAAAGGAAAGGCCAGCAGGAAGGCAGGACCCATGGTAGTCCCTGGGGAACAGAGGGCATGAATAAAACCATGAGCTTTTTCTTTGGTCCAGCTCCCCCATCCACCATTAGACAGAAACCAGGCTGGCTTTGGAAGACTGTCTACCTCCCTTCACCTCCAGGGTCATGAGCAGATTGGTCCAGCTCCCATTATCTTGGGGATCGAAGGCACAAGATCTGTGTCCTGCATCTAGAATGCCTTACCTTGGCTGAGCTGAGCCGAGGTGTGTGGCAGCGTCTGTAGAATGTCCAGCACCGCAAGCATAAATAGTCACCTGCACCTTTCACCCTGGGGTGTATCCATCAGGGAGGTACAATGTGGTTACTGGGTGTACTAGTCCCTTGGAAACTTTTCTCTCTCATCTGCATTTCCTTTTCATCCTTCAGCCATATCAACCAGACTGGTAGGTCCGGTCTGATTGTTGAGTGCCCTTGCCATTTGGAATCCTTCTCTGTATGGCTGTTCGGAAAGCCACTAACTCCACATATATTCCTGGGCAGTACTATAGACTGAGCTGTGTCCCCTAAGATTCACATGCTGAAGTCCTAACTCCCAGTCCTTAGAACATGACTGCGTTTAGAAAGAGCGTCCTTAAAGTGAGAATTAAGGTGAAATGAGGTCATTTGGTTGGGTCCTAATCCTATATGATATCCTTGTAAGAAGAAGAGATGAGGACACAAACTTGCATAGAGAGACATGTGAAGATACAAGGAGAAGATGGTCACCCACAAACCAAGGAGGTACTCTGAGAAGAAAACAGTCCTGCTGATGCTTTGATCTTGGGCCCGTAGGCTCAGAACTGTGAGGAGATAAACTGCTGCTGTCCAGACTGCCCAGTATGCATTGTTTCGTTATGGCAGCCCTAGAAAATGAAAAGGTTCGTATGTTTTATTTTTAAAAACTTTTTACAATTTAAATTTGCATTATGATTTTGGAAAGACAAAATCAGCCCCAATACCAGATCTACCGAACAAGATTTGTTCAGTCACCTAACTTCTGTTTTTACATACACCTCTGTTCTCTGCCCTGCTCCCTTAGGCTTTAAATAATTGTATTATGCTTTATCTGCCCATTGCTCTTCTAACTGAAACCTTTATAAACATAAACATAAACACATTTACACCCTCTCTTGGGTAAAACTGTAGCATTGTGTGTGTGTGTGTGTGTGTGTATATATATATATAAAACATATATTATATGTATGTATGTTTTGTCATCTTGTCATTTTTATTTTATGGCATATCCTAAGATGACACCATAGTGATATATATTCCTCATCCTTTATACAGTTGTATAATACTCCATGTTGATGTGCTCTGAACTATCCAACCAGGTCCTAATGATTGATCATTTTAACAGTTTCCTGTTTCCCCTTACAGATAGTCCTTCAGTGAACAGGCATGTTAATATATTTTATGTTTGACCATGTGTCTTTAGAAGTGATTTCTAAAAATAGAATTGAGATTAAGAGCCATTTGAATTTTTTGCTGTGACTTTTCCATATCTTGTCTTAATTTTTTTCCTACAGAGTTGATTGACTTGTCCTCTGTTTTTGGAAACTGTGTATTAAACATGTTAACTCTTCACAGAATGGTTGCAAATTTTCCTCTTAAAATGATTTACTCCTCTTGAGTTTAAAAAATTTATTTGATATAATCAGTTTAACAATATTTTGATTAACTGCTTTTGGAATTTGAGTCATTGTTAGCAATGGTTTCCCCTGGCAAGAGAGATTAGAGGATTTTTATCCACGATTTCTTCTATCTTTTACATAATTTCACTTTTTATATTTAGATCTCTAACCCATTTGGAATTTCTCATAGTATGATACATGAACACAATTTTATCTTGGTCCTTATTGGATATATATCCAATTAACCTAGTACATTTATTACAAAGATAAGATCCTCTGTACTTAATTGAGATGTCACCTTTATCACATACTAAATTTCCACAGGCATTTGAGACATAATTTTCTATTCTATTCAGTTTATCTGTGTGTCCATTCCTTCATCGGTACCAGGTTATGGAGACCTTAAAACATAATTGTATACGTCCGAAATGCATTAGCACTCTTCTAAAGAAGATTTTTTCTTTTCTCTCTTTCTTCCATCTGCTAGAGGTCAGCCCCATTCTTTGGCCCGTGACGTCTTCCCATCTTCAGAGCCGTCAATGGCTAGTCAAGCCTCTTGCATCACAATACATGTTACTGACTCTTCTGCCTTCTTCTACATTTAAAAGGGCTTTGTGATGACTTAGGCTCCACTCAGATGAGTCAGGATAACCTCTTCATTTTTATTTTGTTTTTCGGTCATGCCATATGGCATGTAGGATCTTAGTTCCCCAACCAGAGGTCAATCTGTGACCCCTGCAGTGGAAGTGTGTAGCGTTAACTGCACTTTGTGAATGAAATGTGTTATTTTTTCTTTAGTGCTTGTTAGAATTAACCAGTGAAACAAAGCATATTTGGATTGTAAGAAAAATTCAGTATACAAAGTTAAAATTGATACAGTGCTATTGAAGTTTACTATTTTGTTGTGTGTATGCTGGATATTTTTATCTTTCAAGGAATTTGTCTAGTTCACCTAAGCTTTCAAATTTATTAGCATCAGGTTCTTTATAATATTTCCTTGTTCTACTTTTATTAAGCTATGATCTGTAGTGGTATTCCTTTATTATTCCAAATAATGGTAATCAACACATTTTCTCATTTTCCTTGGTTAATATACTTACTAGGTTGTCAATTTGACTGCCTTTTTACAAAAACAACCCTTTGGTTTAATTGATAGTCTCTATTTTTCTATTTACTTTTTTCACATGTATTTCCTTTCTTCTCTTGAGATTCAGTAAAATATGTCCTTCTTTTTCCGACATCTTAAGGTGAAAGCTGTGTTGTTGATATAAGACTTTTCTTTTTTTCTCTAATATAAGCATTTAAAGATGTAAGTTATACTTCAAACACCCTTCTAGCTCTGTCCCACAAAATCTGAAATATTTTGGCTCAATTTTTATTCAATTCAAAAGATATCTCAATTCCCTCTGTGATTTCTCTTTTGACTCATGGGTTGTTTGAAAGTATCCTGTTTAATTCCTAAATATCTGGAGATTTTCGAGTAACTGCTGTTGTAATGCTACCCTGTGGTCAGAAAGCATAGTCTGTCTTATTTGAACCTTTTTAAATAATTAAGGTTTATTTTATGTCACAGCATATCATCAGTATTGAAAAATGTTTGATTTGCAATGGAAAAAAAAAATAGTATTCTGCTGTTGTTTGGCAGAATAATCTTTCCAGTAGGTCATGTTAGTTGATACCATAGCTTATGTGTTCTAAATACTCATCTTTATTTTTACTTATAGGAAGCTAAAGGGGGAGCTGAAATATCTAATATATATAATTCATGTAATATCAGAGAATATGATTAAGTGAAATCATGTTGGTAGCTTGAAATTGGTGATGGGATGACGAAAGTATTTATAACATGGAAACTGGCAAATGTTAGAATCAAGTGCTCCCACAAGTGCTGGTTACTAATTATTTATGACTGCAACACTGGACAGCTCCTCCATTAGAGACTTCACTTCTGATCTCCTGAACTGACCTGGAAAAAATCTCCTCCTTGCTTGGTCAGTGTGTATGTTAGAACTGGCAGATGGGAACTGGGAACTGGGCCTTTTTCACAGGAGAGGAGAGAGCAGTAGCACTAATAGGTATTTACTGAGTGCTCACTATGTTGCCCGCTAGCGATATTAATAATGTGGTTACACTGGCTTTCTGCTATCTCAGCTCTCTAGTATCTTTCAGTTCTCATTATGGCAATATGAGATTGCCCAGTGGTTTAAGTATTACTCCTGACTCACCAGTGATCCTTGGTCCTTGAAAAGCTCATCAGCATAGCAAGTATCTTCTAACTATGATCTGTCATTTCTTATATTCATGCTTTGTTTTGGAGTGAAGATGGGCAGGGTTACACAGGGACACACTGGTTGGACAACACACCCCAACTTGTCACTGTGGCATCTAATATCTATGATAAGAAACTCATTTTGATTCAGTTATTTACTAAAAATTAAAATGCTGTGCTAAATGGTTTTAGCTCTTACAAGGGAAAAATCCTTTTTATAACTGTTGACTATGGAGCAAAAATTAACTCTGTATTAACACTCAGGAAAGCTGGTTTTGAACAACTAAGCTCAATTTTGAGTTGAGAAACTCAGAATTTGACCATCTTGCTATGTCACCTAAAGAATAAATAATCTGAGTAAAGGCAAAAGCACTAATCAAAACATTAAAAGATGGAGTTTTATGATGTTTAAGTTCAGTGACAAAGTTTGGTAGAATGACTAAAACAAAACTATGGTTGAGGGAGATGAGGAAGGAAGTTTTGAATTAATTTTTCATTTTTATTTTCACATTTCCTTCATTGACCATACAAATAGTGTCAACACCTCATTCCTTGATTCTAGTATAATTTATTGAGTGCCTAATATCAGCCAGGGCCTGAGGAAATGGGACAAAGACAATCTTTGCTGTTTAGGATTCCAAGTTGATAGGAAGGTGTATTGGTGGTGGTAGGCATCTAGGAAGTGTTTTCCAGTAGTGTGGCGAGTGCATCAGGACACACGAGACATCTTATGTGGTCCTGAGGGTGGGATACAGCCTGAGAGGAATTCATCCTAAGCTGGAAATTTAGAGAAACGTACAAAAGGTAACAATAGGACAGGAAGCTTACTAGTTAGTCACTATGTGTTGATGGAATCACTTCTAGAATGCGAGATAGAATTGACCACTTTGGTGACAAGGAGCTAGTCTCACTGTAGTCATTTATATATCTATAAGATTAAAAAGAGCAAGTAAAGGTAATTTCAGATCTTGTTTCTTTATAAAAGTTACATAATGAAATATATTATATATATATATAAAATGAAAGACATGAAAAGGAAATTAGAGACATAGGTGAAAAGATTTTGAGTCAAAAGATAACAGGGACATATGACTTTAAAGAAAAAACAAGAACAATTTTAAATAACAAGATAGTTAACATCCAAAATTTTGAAATAAATTTGAAATAAAGCAAAAGATAGCAGCATGTCCTTTCAAAGTCAAACCAGGTTGTTGTTGAAAGGTCTCATCCAAGGATTGTTTAATGATCTAAGCAAATGCATCCGCGTTTAACTTTGTTCCTTATTATTTGATGGGAGCATTGATACTATGAATTTATACCTTAAGTTTTATATTTCTGTCTATTCAGAAATTTAACCTCTGAAGGTTTCAGTTTATGGCCCTGAGGGGCATTAACCACTTTTGCAACCATTAACAAACCCATTTCAGCTTTCCATTGAATGGATAAGAAAGCTATGGTACATATACACAATGGAATATTACTCAGCCATTAAAAAGAATACATTTGAATCAGTTCTAATGAGATGGATGAAACTGGAGCCCATTATACAGAGTGAAGTAAGCCAGAAAGATAAACACCAATACAGTATACTAATGCATATATATGGAATTTAAAAAGATGGTAACAATAACCCTATATGCAGGACAGAAAAAGAGACACAGATGTATAGAACAGACTTTTGGACTCCGTGGGAGAAGACGAGGGTGGGATGATCTGAGAGAACAGCATCGAAACATGTATATTATCAAGGGTGAAACAGATCACCAGCCCAGGTTGGATGCATGAGACAAGTGCTTAGGGCTGCTGCACTGGGAAGACCCAGAGGGATGGGATGGGGAGGGAGGTGGGAGGGGAGTTCACGATGGGGAACACATGTAAATCCACGGCTGATTCATGTCAATGTATGGCAAAAACCACTACAATATTGTAAAGTAATTAGCCTCCAACTAATAAAAATAAA